AAGTATTCCACAACAGTGTGATTTCCATTTCCATTCACTGAGCACTTTGTCTTTCGGGGTCATCTTCCTGGTGTATTCTTGGAGCTTGGATATTTCATCTTGGATGGTGGCTCTGATGCTCACTAGACCTCCGCCTCCTTCAGTGATACAAATAAAAATACAAATCAGTTTATAAAAGCTTATTAAACAACCACCTTCATAAAAATCAAAGCAAATATATAGGAACAAAAAACAACCTTCAAAGGTATGGAGCTAAAACTGACAGCTTAGTGACAGGCTAAACGGAAGTCTCCTTTAAGGACCTTCCGTTTTTCTGTTCTTCTAAATTCAACTGCAGTCCACCGATGGAAAGTTCCTGTTCAAGTACCACTCAACCACAGGTAAGAGTCTTGTTTTTATGATTATTATCATTATTAGCTGTAGAAACAGACAAGTGATTCAGTTTTACTTTTAAAACAAGCGACACTATACTGCCGAAAGTATTTGCTCACCCATCCAAATTATCGAAATCAGGTGTTCCTATCACTTTCATAGCCACAGGTGTGTAAAATGAAGCACCTAAGCATGCAGACTGTTTTTACAAATATTTGTGAAAGAATGGGTTGCTCTCAGGAACTCACTGAATTACAGCGTGGAACTGTGATTGGAAGCCACCTGTGCAACAAATCCAATCGTGAAATTTCCTTGCTCCTAAATATTCCACAGTCAACTGTCAGCTGTATTATAAGAAAATGGAAGTGTTTGTGAAGGACAGCAACTCAGCCACAAAGTGGTAGGCCACGTAAACTTACAGAGTGGGGTCAGTGGATCCTGAAGCACATAGTGCAAAGAGGTCACCAACTTTCTGCAGAGTCAATCACTACAGACCTCCAAACTTAATATGGCCTTGAGATTAGCTCAAGAACAGTGCACCTGCAGAGAGCTTCATGGAATGGTTTTCCATGGTCCAGCAGCTGCATCTAAGCCACACATCACCAAGTGTAATTCAAAGCGTTGGATGCAGTGGTGTAAAGCACGCTGCCACTGGACTCAAGATCAGTAGAGGTGTGTTCTCTGGAGTGACGAATTGAGTTCCTCCATCTGGTAATCTGATGAACCAGTCTGGGTTTGGTGGTTGCCAGGAGAACAGCACTTGTCTGACTGCATTGTGCCAAGTGTAAAGTTAGTTGAAGGTTGAATTATGGTGTGGGGTTGTTTTTCAGGATCTGGGCTTGGCCCTTTAGTTCCAGTGAAACAAAATCTAAATGCTTCAGCATACAAAGGCATTTTGGACAATTCCATGCTCCCAACTTTGTGGGAACAGTTTGGAGCTGGCCCCTTCCTCTTCCAACATGACTGTGCACCAGTGCACAAAGTAAGGTCCATAAAGACATGGATGCAGAGTCTGGTGTGGACGAACTTGACTGGCCTGCACAGAGTCTTGACCTCAACCCGATAGAACACCTTTGGGATGAATTAGAGTGGAGACTGAGAGCCAGACCTTCTGTTCAACATCAGTATGTGACCTCACAAATGTGCTTCTGGAAGAATGGTCAAAAATCCCCATAAACACGCCTAAACCTTGTGGACAGCCTTCCAGASGAGTTGAAACCGTTGTAGCTGCAAAAAGGAGTCATTGTCCAAAAAGTTCTCTCACCCGACTCTAGTCTACCTTTGAATGTATGCTTAAGCTTCAGTGATGTAAATTAGTGAACTCGCTTTTTATTGTGACTAATCAAATTTTAATTAAAGATATCTCAGATATCAGTGAAAGAAAATATTGTTAAGCATGTTCGTTTACCATGTTATGTGCTTGAACCACACCGGAAATGTACCAATGCATGGAAATTGAGTTGAAAAGAGTGCATACAACCAAACACAGAGCTGCTCGGTCTGAAGGCATTTAATGATGTGCATTCAGGCCTCAAAAATCCAGAAGTCAGTTTAATATAACACAGAGCTCCGAGACATGACTCCACCTATTTTATTACATCATCAGGAAGGGGGTCCCTAACCCGCTTGAGTCATGCCTCCATGCAAATAAGAATCTACTCTAATGCAGATTAACATTTCAGTTATGTGTTGAATCTGTGTTCAGGCATGTGTCTATCRATATAAACTCATCAATTTAAGCAAAATAGTCACATTTAACAGTTATTACAGTTCTCCTAATAATAAGACTATACCATGTGTAGTGTAATTAAGATCAGTATATAAGCAAACCCCAATAAATTTCTTCATCAGGCTTGTAGGTACAGTAAATACTGGTGTTCTTGACTGTTTTTCTGACATTTTTATTATTCATATAGATATCAAAATTGTATATATCAATCGAAATTAGGACTTATATCAGGATATAAATTTTAGTCATATCATCCAGCTCTGTCTGTAGAGGAGGAGTGGTACTTGAACCGGAACCTTCTATTGGTGGACTGCAGGAGCCTTCGGTTTAGCCCTGTCCCCCGACACCAAAACATTGCCAGCATTGCAGTGACTACGGACTTGGGGCGGGGTTAGGCTTTCACAGAGGGGATCAGTTACACTTTAATTGATAGCTTGGATGCACAGTTAACTTTTTTATTTTAAATTCAGTTGTTTTTAAATATCATGCCAATTTTGGAGCTGAGAAGCCGTAAATATAAGTGTGTATGCATGATGAATGTAAAGAAGCCCACACTAACTATGATTACAACTTACATGCTCTTACTAAAATCGTAAGATCTAAAAGATCAAAAATAAATCAGTGGAGGTGCTATTGAAGAGTAGTGATCTGTCAGTGATGAAACAAGATAAACTAGAACTCTGTTTCATTGTTTCTTAGAGAGCGACTCATGTTTCATCCCTTCATGTGTTAATGAAACACTGATCCCCAACATGAACCTGTGTAATTCCTCCATCCTAACACGTCTTTGGCCTTTTATAACTTAGCTTAAAGTATTTACTTATTAAATATTCTTCTGAACAATCCTTTTACCTAGAATTTGATTTGAATCTTGTGCTTGATATTAATCTTTAAATAAATTTACATAATTTGTTGTAATTTAATCTGGACATACACAGATAAGTACACTCTTAGACAGACAGACCAACCACAGTAAAAACACAATAAACATTCAATAAACTTACACAATAAAATTGAGAGATTTAAAATATAAAACAGATTTTTGCACAGACCCAGAGTAGCTTAAAAAGATTCATTAATGTTTGTTTGCAGCATTCAGCGCTGGGGAAACAGCTGTTTTTTAGTCTGTCCTGGGTGTGATGGACCTGTTGTGTTTTCCAGAGGGCAGCTGGTGAGGTGATATCCAAGGTGGAAGGAAACTGAACTTAATAAAATACTTTTCCTTATTTCTTTGTGACCATTGAGTTAATTAGCGATATAAAAGAAACTGAGTTCATATTAAGTTTTATAAAAGAAATCTTGTCATCTAAACACAACATGGACCAAAAAGACAAAATGGGGGCCATGGACAAGATATCTCAGATTGACAAACTGTAACAGTAGAAAGACTTTGCAGAGGACACGTTCTGTCTTTCCATGTCCCCCTGAGCCTGTGTGCTGCCTGTGCACCTTGGTCTGGTGTTTTCACTGCATACATGCTCCCACTTCTCCAGTCCAAAACAAAAGCAGGCTCTTTGTTTTGAGCAATAACTGCTAGTGCAAATCCAGTCCTGGTYTAACTTGAAGGAATATGTCTCCTCCTCCTGCCTTTTAGACCCAGGTCATCTTATGTTAGAAATGTTGGAGCTGTTGTGCTCAACCTTGTAACCAGTATTTGATACTGTGAGATCTCAATAAACGTGTTAGCACTCAGTAGCTCAGTATTTGTAAAGTTGGTGGTTAAAGCCAGATTTGTCAGTTTGCTGTTGCTGCCATCTTGAGATATTTTGCTAACAGTACAGGCAGAGAAACACACACACACACAGGACAAAGAGAAAAATACTTCCTGCCTCTGCATGTGGCACTAGTGTAGCGTTCACTGATACCTAGCAGAGTGGTGACCTTTCCTCCCATTTTCTGCCCTGGTCAGAATCCAGCAGGAGGTTCCCAGCAAGGTGGTCCTGGAGCAGGAGATCCTGTGGATGAAGGAGCATCTGTCCACGCTGGGTTCCCCCGTGGTGCTCTGCCATAACGACCTGCTCTGCAAGAACATCATTCACAACACCAAAGAAGGTGGGTTGTCCCTACTTCCTCCAAATCACTCATTTATTTATTAATCAATCTACGGTTACCTTTTCATCGTTTTACATCTGAACTTCAACAAACACTTACAGGTCCTTCTCAAAAAATTAGCATATTGTAATAAAGTTCATTATTTTCTGTAATGTACTGATAAACATTAATGTACTGATAAACATTAAACTTTCATATATTTTAGATTCATTGCACACCAACTGAAGTAGTTCAAGCCTTTTATTGTTTTAATA